AAATCAGACAAATGACTATTGTTTTCCATATTCCGCGACCACACATTTATTTATTTCATATATGATATTCGTTTTGTTTCAGACGGAAATCAGATCTTTGTTTATTTTATTCATAATAATCACTCAATCTAACTACAAAGTTATTTATTTAAGATTATGTTATGTTCCAGACAGAAAACAGACATATACATATATAGTCATAATAAGCGACCAAACATTTATTCAATATTTCATTATTGTCATGTTTTTTAGAAATTTAGAGACATACTAGTACCATACCATATGAACCAACTCTAATATAAGAATAACACAGATAGGTATATTTGCTTGTGTATTAAAAATATGTGTTAATATTAACCAAGTTTGAGAAGTTTAGTTACAATAATTGTGATGTTAGTATACCCATCAGTAAATGACTTTAAATTATAGCAGATAGACTACTGATATTCTATCCTTATTGTTTACGCGGTTGATATATTGCTCTAAATTATCATGATCACTACCAATAAAGTTATTTATCATGATGTACGCTGGACGTTCGAGTATGAATACGATACGATTACCTCTTTTTGATCTGTTATCTAACACTAAGTCATTGAATCACAGAACTTTTACTCTTGAGAATGTAAATGGTGGTAGATGAAATATAGTGATACAGCATTAATCTGTAGCTAGAGTGAATAAATATAGCATACAGAAAAAAACAACCCTGGTATCACAATGACAATAATGTTGCGTCAAACCAAAAAGCGTAATCTGTAAGCTGCTGTAAATAGTTTCGAGTTAAATCAATGAAAAAACTTGTTAGATCATCTTTCTGTTCTACGAATATATTACAAATTTTGAAGAGATTCAATAGTTTTTATTTTGAAAACCAAGCCCAATCAACTATCTTCTATAAAAAAATTTTGTTTTCAAACGCGCTCGTCAACTTTGTTTTAGGTTTGACCTTCCAATATTTTGATTTGAGAGTAACTTGTAAGTAAATGGAGAAGAGACAATAATTTTGTTGTTGTTTTTTTTTTTTCTCTTTTTGATTATATTTTCTAAAATCTACTGGGTGTTTTTTGTGTCTTAAATTCATATGGTTACAGCAATATCTGTTAATCACTGTATGAATAATGGAATTTTCAATCAAATAGATATGAGGTACATTTGTATTAAACAAATCACTATATCTATATATGGGCGTCACTTTCTAATGAAATAAGTGGTACAATATTTATCGAATGTTAATAGATATGTGTTATAATTTCCCAGTGCACAATGTTTATTACTGTACATTTGTTATAATGAGTAAAATGATAATTAATGCATCCTAAGAGATTCAATTACCCACATGACTACGTTTGTTGCATTAAAGTCATTAAGCTATATGGTCAAACAATTAAGTTCATAATATCTCAGTATTTTTTGTTTATCTATCTCAAAAGTGAAAGAGCTTTTTGTTTTATATCGTCGTCTCTTTATTTCTTAGTCTTAAAGAAAAGATCATTGGGAAAAATGACTGAAAACTTCCACTAACACAATTTATGTATTTCAAATACTAGTAATCTGAATCGTGTAATATTGCATTTATTCACAAACATGACAAAGGAGCAATAACATTCCCGACGGAAAATTTGTTTATTTTAAAATACACACATTAATTTATTGAATATGACATCCGTTATGTTCTAAACAGTATTCAGATTATATACTTTTTTATTCATGATAAGCGACAACAAAACTCATTATTGTCAGGACTTAGAGACAAACTTTACCATATAAACCTACTCACTTTTAATAATTAAAATGTTGCAACATATTTCATTTTATCCTCATAGGAGAATAACACAGAAAGGAACATGTCTATGTGTATGCAATCAAACATATATGTTTACAGGTTTCAGAGGATTAGTGACTATAAGTATCAAGGAAATTGTAATGTTACTATACCCATCAGTTAATGACTTCAAATTAAAGCAGAGAGAGTAGTGATATCAAATGTTTATTATTAACGCGGTTGATATATATTGCTGAAAATTATCAAGATCACTACAAATAGATTATCAAATCATGCTGTACGTTTGAGTTAAAATATGACACGATTATCTCCCTTTTATCTGTTTTAGAATCCCTGAAATTTTACACAAGATAATCTAAATGATTTTATATGAAATATAGTTATAAAACATTAACATGCAGCTCTAATATATAAATAGAGCATATAATAATCTAAATACTATTAGATGAAAGATAGTTATACAACATTAATCCTCAGCTGTAGTAAGTACGCAATGCAAATTAAAACCATTATATCACAAAAGACATTGTGATGGCAGATAAAAAAAACAGTGTTATGTAAAGCAGCTTTGCAGAAATGATAACATATCTCTTTAAAAAGAGACGAAAGATACCACAGAGATATTCAAATGCATTTATTGTTTTATCGTCTTCATTTATTGATCAAGATTACATAGTTCTCAGTAGTATGTTAAGTACAAAAAAGGTAAATCAAAACTACCAAATTGCATGGTACTTTTCAAAAGAGGGATAACATTTGTGAAGTGGATAAATAGTTTTTTATTCTAATAACGAAGCCCGAGCAACGTATTTTACAAAATGATCTTGCTTTTAAACGCTCGTCAATTTGGTAATTGGTTTGACCTTCCAATGTTTTGATTTGAGAGTCACTCAGTAGTTAAATGAAGACGAGACATGCGTCTGGCGTTTTATATTAACATCAAAGTATTTCTGATTAGTTTTCATAAAATTTATCTAAACGGCGGCTAGTCTGTGACAATTGTAGATTAATTTAAGTTAGGACAGCATTTCGATTTATATTCTTCACAATATGTGATTCTAACAACAAAGTAATTCAAAGGTTAACTTTCAACTAATTTGCAGTACGTATTTTATTATTCAAATTAGGCCACAATCAAATAAACATAGTTGTAAAAGTGTCACTGATTTTAATTTACTATTTAATTATGTATTACAAAGATGCAATAATCTACGGTGATGTGTATTGTGTTGTGAAACTATTGTAAAAAAAAAGATACTTACAGGATCAAATAAACTCATCATAGATACCAGGATTAAATTTTATATTTACGCTGGACGCGCGTTTCGTCTACATAAGACTTATCAGTGACGCTCATATCAAAATAGTTATAAAGCCAAACAAGAACAAAGTTGAAGAGCATTGAGGACCCAAAATTCCACCAAATTGTGCCAAATACGGCTAAGGTAATATATTCCTGGGATAAGTAAACCAAAATGACAAACATTTGAAAAAAGCAAAATTAGAAAAACGTTAACTTTATGTTAAAATATTCGTTCAAAATCGTCATTGAGAATATTTGTCTCACCGGAATTTGGGTGCTTGTTATCTAATATGCATTGTATTTCTTATAGTTATCAATGGATTTGTTCCAATCGCCGTTACCACAATCCCAATGTTTTCCTCAATGATTTCACCGACTGGAGGTATTGCTGAATGTTAACTTTCCATGAGGAACATTACGTTTGCCACATATGGAGGACTGCTTACATTGCAGCGTCACCACAGAACACCAACAATAGGTAGTGGGGTTCATGTTGATTGGTCGTTACTTTTATACGAAGAATTTTTGTGGACTTATTTGCCTTTTCTTCTTTTACATGTTTTTCAATGGCGTTGTTGTTTCCTTCGATAAACTAGACATGACTAGAACTTCTTGTCGACATCGCTAGTCCGTGACTGAATTTAGGTATATATGTATTTTTTTAAGCTGGATTTGTAATTCTTGTAATTGTCATCTGATAGATAAAAGATGATTGTAAAAGAGTGGCAAAGGATAATCCATTTATCGCTATTATACCTATGACGACGTTGTTAAACTCATTGGCGTCGGGCATGTGCTTCCTTAGTTTCTATCAATAGTTTGTCAAATCACTCTACTGTGTTGAGAAAGAAAATTATCAATCAGTTAGGTCAAAGAAAAATTTCGAAAAATAGCAATAATAGTTTTTATTAAAGTTATCTAAAGTTCGGCTAGTTAGATGAAATGAGTACTCTAAAACAACAATTTTGTATTCAAAGACCAGCATAAATTGAGATTGAGGGTACCAGTATGGAACCCAAATGGCACCTTCTTTTGCCAACGTTTTCATGGGGAGTCTCGAAGAACGCATCCCTTTGTGTGTACAATACAAACCCTTGTAATGGCTCCGTTATATTGATGACATTGACATCGAATGGAACGAAACTGCAGAACATCTACAAGATTTTCTAGATTTCTGTAAATTCTTTCATCAATCTATAAAGATCGAATCTGAAGTTTCAAATGCGGAAATTGCGTTTCTCGACGCCGACATTATTTTGGAAAAAGGAGTCATAACAACCGACCTTCACAACACAAATAAGCCTTATAATTGACACTTCTGGTGTTCGAAGCATTCCTCCCATATGTAAGGAAGTAATTGTTACAGCTAATATTTAATAATTTAATTTTAAATGTAACGCGTCTTCTGATTTGCTGACGTTGTTTTGTTTATCAGCTCATAGACATAATTTTATAATGTGACCGTAACGTCATGAACGTAATTTCATGATTTACTACGGCTGAAAATTTAATAAAGAATTAAATTATGAAAACTGACTGTGATACTTTTTCTGTGTATTCAAAATAACATGAAAAATGTGGTGCACATTTTGAAATAACCCCCAATTTTGTTATTTTGAATAGACAGGAATAATATTACAGTCATTCCTTAAATACAGAATACCATGATACTGAAGTAAAAATGACTCTTCATTCCCCAATTTTTATTTTTCAGTTAAGCACAAAACTTCTTTGAAATTTATTCAACTATGTACAGCAATTAACCAAATATTACACAAAAAGATCACAAAATCTAAAAACAAAAAGATTTCTCTCTAAATGTTTAGGAAAAACAGAAAACATAAATCTATGCAAACACATTTGATAATTCATTATTCATGTTATTGTAGCGTAAAAACAAAAACCAACATATGAATCGACTGACTTTTAATTATCTCATAGAAGCAATTCACAAAACGGAACTATTACTTTTGTACGCAATAAGAACATTTGTGTATACATTTACAAAGGTAATGCGATAACTGTATAAGAACTGAGCATTCGAAGTACAAAATACAAAAACAGTATAACTCAATTAATTTATCTTTAAAACTGTAGATTACAGACCAAAAAATAAAGTTAACGACGTCATGACGTTCTAGTACTTTTAATTTCTATAATTGTAGTGGTACAAATGCCTTCCAAAAATAATCTTTAAAACGATTCACTGAATCAAATCCATGACCTTTTAAGATGTATTTTATAATGATGCAGATACAAAATATTCTATGAATGCTTTCTTTTAAGTTTTTCGGAACGCGGAATCAACAGTAACACAAAGTTGACTGGTGTGCTATAAAACCAGGTTTAATTTACCATTTTTTACCAAAGGAAAAACTAAGTCGGGAAAATGTCAGTTATTTTCCATTCATTTAATGTGTTTGGACTTTTGATCTTGCAACTTGATGATGTTACTGTCCCAAATGGAGTGTACCTATTCGTAGAAATAAGGTTTGGCGTAACGAGAAATAGCCAATTTTGAATATTAAAGCATTTTTGCGAAAGAAAATACTGTTTTTTTACTTGATATATTGGTCGTCATATCAAAATTTGTCATACTACTATTCTGTATAAGCTTCAATTTATTTCTCTCTTTTTTGTTTTGGTTTGTTTTGTCTCATAAACGATTAATACGTCTTTTTTTCCAAGCTTTTGTTAAATTATTGTTCATTACGAAGGATATTCCTGAAAAAGTGTTGTCCCGACGGAAGTCATATTATTTGTATTATTCTGTCATTAAATCGTTTCGACTGCTTGAGTCAACCGAGGGAACCATCCCAATGCGTTGTTATTGACAGGATTGAAAAGCTTAGATGGATTTGTATATTTTATTCAGCCTCGTTCTTCGTTGCGGTATTATTGATAAAAGAAACGTTGGTGTTTGTTTTTTTTTTTGCACCAGGTATTTGTGGCTAAGGAAAATCAATTTGCTGATTGTTTTGTTCGATGGAAGATACACACTTTTATGTTATGTATTCGTATAAGCCATTTGTATATAGATAAGACCGTTGGTTTTTCTGTTTGAATGGTTTTACACAAGTCATTTTGGGGCCCTGTTTTGCTTGTGCAGTGTGAGCCACGGCTCCGTGCTGAAGAGTGTGATATGACCTAAAATGGGCTTTTTATACAAATTTGTGACTTGGATGGAAAGTTGTCTCATTGGTGCTCATATCAATGTTCAATTTCAACTCTTCTTTTCTTGAAGTACTGTCGATTATAATAATGTGTTATTCCTGCATACTTTATGTATAATGTGTTGTTTATTAGTTCACTGATATGTATTCATCTGGGATGCGATGAAATCTGTAAAAACAATAATCGTTTAATACCGATTAATAATCACGTGTGTATCCTAAGTAAGAAATAAAATTGAGAATGGAAATGGGGAATGTGCCAAAGAGACAACAACTCGACCATATAACAGACAACAGCAGAAGGTCATCGATAGGTCTTCAATGCAGCGAGAAACTGCCGCACCCGGAGGCGTCCTTCATATTGCCCCTAAATAAATATGTATACTAGTTCAGTGATAATGAACGCCATACTAAACTCCAAATTATACACTAGAAACTAAAGTTAAAAATAATACAAGACTAACAAAGGCCAGATGCTCCTGACTTGGGACAGGCGCAAAAATGCGGCGGGGTTAAACATGTTTATGAGATCTCAACCCTCCCCCTATACCTCTAGCCAATGTAGAAAAGTAAACGGATAACAATACACACATTAAAATTCAGTTCAAGAGAAGTCCGAGTCTGATGTCAGAAGATGTAACAAAAGAAACTAAACAAAATGACAATAATACATAAATAACAACAGACTACTAGCTGTTAACTGACATGCCAGCTCCAGACTTCAATTACACTGATTGAAAGATTATGTCTTCATCATATGTCATGTCTTTGATATCTTGATGGGTGTTTTCATTTTTTGGCAACCAGATGTTCTTTATAGATGGTTTGGTGGTCTCTTTTTGCTTTGCTGTAAGCCTATTTACACTTGGAAAGATTTCAGTTTTATATTTCTTGTGTGGTTGATCTTTGTTCTGGTATCTTTGTTGGGTTTTCTCTGTAGTTACATTCACTAAAGGAGATTCATGATAAATATGTCTGATCTATTTCATGTTCTCCTTTAAGTTGTTAAAATATTCACTTAACAGTTCTAAAATATTTGTGAAACCTCTTCTTTAAGCAATCATACGAATTTAAATATCACATAGGTGTAATTCTGCAAAGTTATGTTTAATACTTTCGCACTAACATAATGTGGATAGGAACAGTCTAAATTAAGACCTATTTACCATCATGCGTCATTGCCGTAATATCTATGCGTATATCAATTAATAAATGTTCTACTTCTGTATGTTCTTTAATGTACATGTTATTCTGACCATTCATCTCCATCTTTTGGTGTAGTTTTACACAACTATTCAATTTTTATCCAACAAGATCATTTACTATAATATTTTCACTGATACATAATGACCCTCATTGCTAGATATAGTGATGTATAAAAACTTGAATTTCATTTGTCATTTGCAATCATACCGACATCGCTCAATAACTAAACTATTGCTGTATGTCCAGCCGAACAACCTGCGTCTAAGGCCGAATTTCCATCTTCATCTTTTATGGTTGTATCTACACGACTATTTATTACTTGCGCATTTAAATCAAGTTATGATTTTACTATAGAATTAAACGCCTTTTTAAAGGAATTTATTGGTGTATAAACTGAACCAATTCACTTATGATATGTTTGTGAGTGACTTGGTCCAGTATATACACCAATAAATTCCTTTTAAAAGGCGTTTAATCCTTATAATTCTTTGAAATTGGAGATATGGAAAATATTTTTTCCACACTCGTAACCTCTATCGCACGTAAATTGTATATTTATGTCATTGAATAGGCTCGGCGCATGAATCAATTTGTCGGCTTACGCAAAAATATGTCCTCCATGTAATTTGCAATCTGATAAAAAGATAAACAACAAAAACTCTTATCATTCAAACGAATGCTTTTGTTTTTGTTATTCAATTTAACGATTAACGTGCAATGAAATAAATTTTGTTAACGTCGGTGTTATTATCGCCGCCATCTTGTTTACATTGGTTACGAGAAAAAGTTCGGTCAACGTCGTCTATCGAAAAATAACCAACGTCAAGATCAACTACCGGAAGTCCTCTCGACCAATCATATCAACGTATTCCTTAATATGCAAATCATATAAGAATTATTGTGCTATTATGACCGTTGTGACAAGCTAGAAGAAGTGGTGTACAACCGTTATTCGTTGTGTCATTCACATACATACCAACTTCAATCAATAACGTAACTGTTTCTGTATGTCCAGAATAACAAGCTGCATATAGAACTGACCATCATTTGTCATTTGCATTCATACCGACATCGCTCAATAACTTTACTATTGCTGTGTGTCCAGCCCAACAAGCTGCGTCTAAAGCCGAATTTCCATCTTCATCTTTTTGGTTGTATCTACACGACTATTTATTACTTGACCATTTAAATCAAGTAATGATTTTACTGTGTCATAATGACCTTTGTGACAAGCTAAAAGAAGTGGTGTACAACCGTTATTCGTTGTGTCATTTACATACATACCAACTTCTATCAATAACATAACTGTTTCTGTATGTCCAGAACAACAAGCTGCATGTAGAACTGACCATCCATCTTCATCTTTTAGGGTTGTATCTACACAGCTATCTAACATTTGTCCATTTAAATCAAGTAAGTAATGATTTTACTGTTGCAAAACAGCCGTCCTGACAAGCTAAAAATAGTGGCGTAGAGCCTTTAGTCGATGTGTCATTTATATTCATACCAGTATCGATTAATAACTTTACTATTTCTGTATGTCCATTTGAACAAGCTGCATGTTAAACTGACCATTCATCGTCATCTTTTATGGTCATATCTACACAACTATTCAATGTTTGGCCATTTAGATCAAGTAACAATTTTACTGTGTCGTAATGACCTTCATGGCAAGCTAGATATAGTGGTGTACAACCATGTACTGATTCATTAACATTTATTCCAACTTCTATCAATAACTTTACAACCTCAGTTTATCCATTCGAACAAGCTGTATGTAAAACTGACAATCCATTTTTGTCTTTTATGGTCGTATCTACACCACTATTCAATGTTCAAGTAATAATTTCACTGTGTCGTAATGCCCTGCATTACAAGCTAGATATAGTGGTGTGCAACCGTCATGTAACGAATCATTAACTTTCATTCCAACTTCTATCAATAACTTTACAACCTCAGTATGTCCGTTCGAAGAAGCTGTATGTAAAACTGACCAGCCATCTTCACCTCTCAGTGTCATATCAACACGACTATTTGATATTTGACCATTTAAATCAATTAATAATTTCACGATGTCGTAATGACCTTCCCGACAAGCTAAATATAGTGGCGTAGAGCAATTGGTCGATTTGTCATTGATATTCATACCGTTATCGATTAATAACTTTACTATTTCTGAATGTCCCTCCGAACAAGCTATATGCAAAACTGAACATCCATCTTCATCTTTTATGTTTGTATCTACACAGCTTTTTAATGTTTGGCCTTTTAAATCCAGTAATAATTTAACTGTTGCATAATGACCTTCCTGACAAGCTAATAGTATTGGCGTGTAACCATTAGTCGATGTGTCATTAACATTCATACCGGTTTCGATCAATAACTTTACTATTTCTGAATGTCCCTCTGAACAAGCTACATGCAAAACTGACCATCCATCTTCATCTTTTATGTTTGTATCTACACAGCTATTTAATCTGTGGCCATTCAAATCAAGAAATAATTTCACTGTTTCGTAATGACCATTTTGACAAGCTAGAAATAGTGGCGTTGAACCGTCCTTCGATTTGTCATTTACACCCACACCAACATCAATCAATAACTTTACTACTTCTGTATGTCCAGAACAACTAGCGACATGTAAAACTGAACTTCTATCCTCATCTTTTACAGTTGTATCAACACAGCTATTTAATGTTTGACCATTTAAATCAAGTAATAATTTTACCACTGCATGGTGACCTTCCTGACAAGCTAGATGAAGTGGCGTAGAACCAGACGTCAATGCGTCATTTACATTCATACCGACGTCAATCAATAACTTTACTACTTCTGTATGTCCATTCAAACAAGCTATATGTAGAAATGTCCATCTTTTTACAAGTTTTGTATGCGTGTATACACACATATTCAATGTTTGGCCTTTTAAATGAAGTAAAAATTTCACTGTGTCGTTATGTCCTTTTTTACAGGCTAGAAAAAGGGGTGAACATCCTTTAGTTGTTAAGTCATTAACCGTCATACCAACATCAATCAATAATTTTACTACTTCGGTATGTCCATTATTACAAGCTGAATGCAGAACTGTCCATCCACTTTTAAGCGTATGTAAATTCTTCAATTCATCAGCCACTGTTCTTTTTTTCTGTTTCAAATACATGCAATCTGTAATGTACTTAACTGTTTCAAAATAACCATTCGTGCAAGCAATAAACAGTGGTGTTTTACCGTGTTTTTGTTTCTGATTGACATCCATACCAAACTCAATCAATATCTTAACAATGTCTGAATGCCCTTTGTCACAGGCTATATGTAAAGCTGTGTTTCGAAAGTTATCTTTTATTGTTATATCGACATTATATCCACCATATAGTAGCAGCTGCACCAATTTTACATTACCATTTGAGCAAGCAAAATGTATTGTACTTTGTTTTAATCTGTTCAGTTTGTTTGTTTCTGCCTTGTTTTCTAATAACAATTGAGCCACCTCAGTGTGACCATTGAGGCACGTTGCAGATAATGCAGTTGTTTTCTCAGAGTTTTTTGCATTAATGTCATGACGATATTTCATAAGATATTTAACAACTAAAATGTGACCGTTTTCACACGCTACAAAGAAGGACGTTCTACCTTTCTTGTCTTTCCCATCTATGTGACCAGGACTTTTTACTTTGAAATATTCTACAAAATCGACGTATCCTAAATACGATGATACAAAGAACGGTGTAGCGCCATCCTTGTCAGCAACGTAAGTAGTTTCCTGACATGTGTCTTGTTCTTTGAGAAAGGAAAGCAGTAGGTTTCTATATTTCTGGTTCTCTGTCTGTAAGCTTCCAAATACTTCCCAGTTGCTTCCTTTCAAAGCCTCGTTATATTGTCTTTTGAGATAACTTCCTTCTAACTCTGGTGGGACATAGACTACAAAGGGAAGACTACTTTGACCACATGAAGAAAGCTGAATGCGATTTGCAATGAAAGCAATGTCAACATACTCTATCAAACAATTCATTATAGATGGTGCAATAGCTGCTGAAATAATGTCAAACATTTTGTCATGGATTGCTGCATAATGGTTCTCTGATTCAGTAATATAGATACCTTGAAGACTCTTGAAACATTTTTGTATCGACACCATGGATACATAGGATTCAATATCACCGTCTCTGCATATAGCATTTACTAAATGTTCTAAACCACTGGACATTAATTCATTTTTACAAAATTTATTATTCTTCAGAACTAGGAGAGAAAGGCAGAGAAAAGATGTTTCAGATTTGATTTTCATTTCTGCAATTTCTTTTTCAAATACTTCAACAGGATGATTAAAAAAAACTAGATTTTGTTTAGTTTTTTTGCCGTACAGTGCACATAAAAGAGGAAAGAAATCATACAGACAAATATTCTGTATGCCATTCAGAGTGTTCTCAGGTAAATACGACAATGCAATATTTCTCATTTCATCTTGAGAAATTTTATATTTTGTACAAAAGCTGCATTGTACAAGCGAGAAACAAGCCAGTTTTGGAAATGCCTTGTGACTATATATATTCTCCCTGCACGTGATTATAAACTTAGCATCTGATTTAATTGCGATGTCATCAGTGTCATCATTCTCATTACTAGAACGTAATAGCATATTTAATTTACTATCGTTTTGCTCCCAGGAGTCTGCTTTGTGTTGATTAAGAGCAAATTTACCACAAATATCATCAATTACAAAAACTTGGATCTTCTCTTCTGTAAAATGTTTAAGTATTTCTGATGGACCATCACAAGGAATTATTTCATATCCCTCCTTTTCAAATGTCAGTGCTACATTATGAGCGATAATAGATTTTCCACAACCCGGAGATCCAGTAATAATGACTCCTCTATTTTGGTTTAGTGATTGTAGTATAAAAGTAGATGCGGAGGTAGAAATGTATTTCGTGTCTTTTTCTTTCCATTCTTTCAAAGTTTTAATGAATATTTCTGCAAAAATAATTATAGTTATTATTAGAATTTATTATTTTCTGCTAACCTTTGAAATGTAAATCTGAAACAGCTTGTTACACTTACGATTAATTATGTACTATTTACTGCATGTTATTTTATTGTACTCGTAAACAATAATATAGAAAAATTTGCTTGTGGAGAGAAAAGGAGAAGATCTAAGTATCTGTCATTAATTAATGTTGGTGTCAATTCTGTCAATAAAATTTAGATTTAAAATGGGGAATGTGTCAAAGAGACAATGAGCCGAATAAAGAGTAGAAAACAACAGATGGCCACCACTGGATCTTCAACACAGCGAGGAAGTCCCGCAAGCGGAGGCGGGCTTCAGCTAGCCCCCCCCCCCCCCCCCCCCCCCCCCCCACCCCAAATAAAACAAAAACCGTATAAGTTCAGTAAAAACGCACGTCACAATAGAATCAAGAACATATAAAAGAACTAAAATTAACAAAACATACAAGACTGACAAAGACCAGCGCCTCCTGATTTGAAACAGGCGTAAGAATGCTGCAGAATGTAACATGTTTTGTCAGATCTCAACCCTTTCCTATACATGTAGCCAACACAATTAAACGTGTATATATTATATTTAAATTTAATTGGACATTATCCAATAATTAAATTTAACTATATACAGGTTAAACTATGCCTACTTATGTTGTTTGCAGATGTCAACCTTAATTATAATGCTTGAGCAAACATTTCTACAAACAAAGCAAGCAAGTCAACGAACCTTTGTCTTGCTAACACTATGAAACGAGCTGTGATACCAAACTTAAGTATCGTAACTATATCCCTTCTGAATAAGTCTGTCTAAAGATTGGTTAACTTTTCAGGTAAATGCCGACATTTTTGTGCTTTGTATAGAATATTACCATAAAAGAAATGATGTGAAATATCTGAACGTGAAAGATGTCTGCGAGTTGAATTGTATTTACGAATGATGACCTTGTACTGATGAAACACTTTAGTGTTTTGTGATACCGAAAACTCTGGTGTAATACTTTTTCAGTAATACAGAGATTTCTTTCATTAAAATAAAATACGTTGTTAAAAACACGAGTGAATCGAAAAAATTGAGAAATATAGACACCATTTAATAAAGAGGACAATTAACAATAGTTAATGAGATTCATCCTTTTTATCATAAATTTTGGTACTTCAGCTTCCGTTTGAAGATATGAAGATTTAGGAAGGGGCAGTGTACATACTGAAGTCGTCACTATTAAGAGCAAATACATTATCCAAATACCTAAAAGTGTTATTAAATTTTGTATCAGATGTTCATGATGTTGTTTTAATAGGTCTTTGCATATTTCAGTTACAAAATATAACTCATAGAAATATAGAAACAGGTTCGCAATAAGTGGTGTACAGTTAGTTCCCATTCCGATAATTTGACGATAAACGGAGCGAACAAAAACCTTATCTAGTAAAATTTCAAGGTAGTTATCGTATCAATGCAGGTCCATGCTGTTTGTTCCAGATCTATGCAAAATTCCTAATTCACAAACGCCAAACAAATCTATGGCATTTTTTGTTTTATTCAATCTATTGCAGATCTTGATATTACGTAATTGTCAGCGTGAAAGAGTAAGCTATAATACCACGTCGTCGCTTACGTTGACGGTTTGAAATATAGAAGAAAAAGAAAATGCCAGTTTTCAAGAACCATAATCCATAAATTAAATTATATTTCATAATTCGATTACACGGTAACGGAAATCCCTGCAAATATGTAACTTTAATCATTTTTTTTGGATGATATAAGAATACTAGCGAATAACCCTGGTCAAATGAATATGTTTTTGGTGTTTTGAGTGTTTATGTTTCGTATTTGTTGTCGTTCTTTTTTTTTTTTCTTATCCTCGTCCGTGTTCCTAGTGTTTTCTTGTCTCTTGATTTTTGGCGAATTTTTACTGTGATATTGGTATGCTTTTGCTTTTCTTTCTATGCTATGCTATATTCTTGTTATTTTTTTCTATCTCTATGGTTCTCTTTTTTAAACAAAATCTACAACATTTTTCAGCTATATTACAGCAACTACCTGTAATATATATTGTATATTGGTAGGAAATGTTTGTTCTCCAGAACACATCGTTTTATTCCTAAAGCCTGTATGAGTAGAATTGAGATTGGAAATGGGGAATGTATCAAAGATACAACGACCCGACCATAGAACAGACAACAGCAGAAGGTCACCAATAGGTCTTCAATGCAGCGAGAAATTCCCGCACCCAGAGGCGTCCTTCAGCTGGCCCCTAAACAAATATATATATTAGTTCAGTGATAATGAACGCCATACTAAACTCAATATATCTTCTTTTCCATCACGATTTAGTTGATCATATTGGAAAGTCCATTTCACAAATTGTTATGGATATGCTTTTGTTGTCGTACCTCTAAACCGTTGGGTTTTTTATTTGTCCTGCAATTTTTCGTGTAACTAAGATTTTCTATTTTTTTTTTTCTTGTTTTACCTTTGTACAGGATTTTTACGTCTTAGTGTTGTGTGTACTAAGTCATACAACATCTTTAAACTAGCCGGTTTTTTTGTTGTTGTTTTTTTTTATGTTATATTAGTGACGCAGAGTGCAATTGTCATAATACGGGAATTTATCGGGTCAATATAACTCATATCGGGTATGGCTACCCGATTAATTGGATATTTTGACAATTACACACTGTATCAAATTTATCTTGATTTTCATACAATCCTTGACGTATATACGCCTTGTTTATGTTTCCAGTAAGTTTTATTTAAGACGTCATTAAAAGTACAGGTCTTTTCATTAAGTTAATGGTATGAGGTAGATTATCAGAATTGACTTAATAGAAAATGCACTGAATTTATTGGGACAATGTCAGCCAATCAAATTACCAGAAATTACTCTAAATCAGGTTACTCATCATCATCTAAGCTAGTTTAATTTGATGCAAAAACAAATAATTGTTATGAAAAAAACATAATTTTGTTTACATTGAATATTAAATTTACCATATAGGAATAGAGATTTATTGTTTAATTTGTAAAAACCATGACGAAATTGTTTGATCATGTTGAAGTGCAGACAAACCCATCCGGCTACAAAATTCTACAATAGATCTAAAATACCTTTTATATTTTTATTTTCTATTTCTAATGTCTCCAGTTTCTGGCTGACCGTACGCAGATGCTGATCGGTTTTTTCCAAGTGTTTCTCACGCCGTATGAAATCTTTCATATCACTGTCATTAGTAAATGGTGAAATCATCATTGCATCAATATCTGACTTTAAGTCCGGTACTAGTCTAAGTATGGCCTGTCAGACAGAACAAAACTGCAGAATATACTTTATACGAAACAACTATTACATAATTAGGCAAGCACTACAAAAAGTCAGAGCTTATGTGTTGACATGAATTATCTGTTACAAAACTTTGATTTTTTGAAATACTAAAACTTTTTGACCTCAGGAATAGATTACCTTAGCTGTATTTGGCAAACCTTTAGGATGTTTTGGTTCTCAATGCTTCATCATCATACACTACTTTTTAATAACTGTTTTTTATTCGAACGTCACTGACGAGGTTTTTTTTTTAGACAGAACGCTCGTCTGGCGTAAATACAAAATTTCAATCCTGGCATCAATGATAAGTTTATTTTATATTCGGAGTCCGAAACGACTACATGTTGCGTCGACCATTATGGTCAAGAACAGATTTTAGTTGACAACGCTCGAAATAATATCGACAGTACTTAACTGTACTTAACATCACTCGGCTTTGGTCTCGACTTTACTTTATAAGTCTGATTGAGTTCTTGATAATCTTAATATATAGATATAAGAAGATGTGGTATTATTGCAAATGAGACAACTCTCCATCCAAGTCACGAATAAAACTTTAAAACAAAAATGTACTTTAGTTAAGACTCAATTCAGATAATCACTTTTTAAATTATAGAATTTTCTAAAGGTGATTTGAATGTAGTTCAAACTTAAAGTTCTAGCCTCTTTTACCAATAAATTAAATCCTTTAATTTGACAGCAATGAACCAAACTACAAAATAACATTGAATTTTGTAATATAAATAATTGAAATAGATGAGCTGATTCAAACCAGTCGTGAATAAATTTAAAGTTCAAAGCTGGTCGTTAAAGGTCGAGACTGGTCAATACAGAATTGAAACATGTCGAGATTGATCGAGAATTTTATTGATACCACAATCAGACTTTACCAAGATTATCAATATTTAATCAGACTTATCAAGTAAGGTTTAGACCGAAGTCGAGTACAGTTATGTAAAGTTAAGTGCTGTCGAGATTATGTCTCGCATTGTCTAAATTGAAGAGCCGACAACAATTGACCTATTATTAGGTACATTTAGGATCACGGAATGTTATAAATAATTATTGCTGAGGAAATTGCAGGATTATTAAATAGTAAACAAAGTTATATTAAGGCTTTTCTACCTCAGGAATAGATTACCTTAGCTGTATTTGGCACACTTTTAGGAATTTTTGGTCCTCAATGCGTTTCAACTTCGTACTTTATTTGGCCTTTTTAAGTTTATTATTGAAGATGTAATTTTGTTATTAATAAATGGTATAAATAGATATTTGTATAAAGGAAAGATTTGATCAGTGAATTATATGAATATATATTGTTTAATTCACTATTGTCTATTTTACTTGGAATTTCAAACAAGCAACATTCTATCCATAGCAGCTGTATATTTTCTTTTAAATCTATTGAATATAAAACTGTAGAATTACTTTATGATTCTCTTATTTCGTCGAGTTTTGATACTCTTAGAATCTAATTTTGACTATGTGTACTTTTTTATAAAAGAAAATACCTCAACTACACAGTTCCTTATTTCTGAAAAGGTGTTTTCAGGAACTTTCCCGCTGTCTGAATGAACAATGTAGTTCCTGTAAAATTTTATCCTGGAAATATCTGCATCTGTAGTATGAATCGATTCCAGTGGAAGACTATCTTGGATGTTTACATCTGTGAAATTTCTGAGTAAACATACCATCAATGATATATCAAACATATCTGATGATACTCCTGACGAACCTAAACAAAAATATGATTATTATAATGTAAATAACAATGGAGTGTATTATCGAGTGAGCACTTTTTTAAGTTCATACCTATATAGGAATATTGGTCTAAAACTCATCTTTCACCATTCAGCCTCATTCTTCTATTATGTCAGATGACTCTGAAATACCCTGTCTTTTATTTTGTCCTCTGGTTTTGTAGTTTCCGTACTTTATCGGGTACTTGATGACAGAAAGCGCTTGACATTTTAAGCCGAACAGTTTCACTTTATCTCTTTACTTGATTCAATTCTTTGGCGCTGGTTCATATTTTCATTTTTTCAATTGAAAACATGCATACCAAACATTGACAAAATGAAACTCAGGAACGGAATAATACTCAATACCAAACTCGCTTAAAGGGTATCAACACGTCTCAATCTTCTAAGTGAAATTACAACAAAAACTAACAGTTTTAGTAATTATAATGGTGGTTACCCTTCTAATGATAAGTGTCATGCCAAAACAAATAACTTAAATGTTCCTGTATTTCCATCAACAAAACGATAAGCTTAACTTTTAATTTTGGAACATATTCCTAAAGTTTTGAAAATGATATCAATTAAAAATCTTCGAAAAACCAAAAATTCGGTATTTAGTACGTAGGTGAAATCTGACGCTGTTTGTCTAAACACAAACAAGATTACCTTCGTTTAGTTTAAGAAGACCCCATGAATTTTAAAGAAGCATTCATCATCTATAATTACTATGTATCAGCATTCCAGGAGTATACATCTCCTAGTTGATACGATATACCAGGGCTAGTTTTTCCTAACATAATTTTCTTAATAGAAGGTTGCTGCTCACAAAGAACCAATTTTGACTGTTATACAAGTAACTTGAAACAAGGACTTCTCTTGAACTGAATTTTAATGTGCGTATTGTTATGCGTTTACTTTTCTACATTGGCTAGAGGTATAGGGGGAGGGTTGAGATCTCATAAACATGTTTAACCCCGCCGCATTTTTGCGCCTGTCCCAAGTCAGGAGCCTCTAGCCTTTGTTAGTCTTGTATTATTTTTAATTTTAGTTTCTTGTGTACAATTTGGAGTTTAGTATGGCGTTCATTATCACTGAACTAGTATATATATTTGTTTAGGGGCCAGCTGAAGGACGCCTCCGGGTGCGGGAATTTCTCGCTGCATTGAAGACCTGTTGGTGACCTTCTGCTGTTGTCTGTTCTATGGTCGGGTTGTTGTCTCTTTGACACATTCCCCATTTCCATTCTCATTTTTATTATCGTTAGTTTTCTCGTTTGAAATGTTTAACATTTTTCATTTCGGGACCTTTTATAGCTGACTATGCGGTATTGGCTTTGCTCATAGTAAAAGGCTGTAAGGTGATCTATTATTGTTAATTTCTGTTTCATTTTGTGTCTTGTAGATAGTTGTCTCATCGGCAATCAACCACATCTTTTTTTTTATATTTATTTGCTTACTCAGCTTTCATCTCTTTTGGAAACGATTACGTTACATATGAAATACATCCGATTCGAATTTGTAAATTTATGTCTGCATCTTTCGAAAAACTTTGCTTAACACCATGGTTTTCGATATCATAACCTTGTCAAAACATGTACTTAATTATATCATCAGTACAAGGACATAATTTGAAAATATGAATCGCCTTGCAGACATTTTATACGTTCAGTTCTTTCACATCCTATCTTTTATGTTAATATTCTATATAAGACAAAACATGTCGGCATTTACCTCAAAAGCTAACCAAATCTGTAAACAGACTTATTCAGAAGGAATATAATTACAATACCTTTGTCAGGTCATTACATATGGCATATCTTGGTATCAATATTGATTCACTCATGGGGTCTTTGTATCGGAAATAAACACATTTATTCTAAAACCAGTTATTGGCATGATACAGGTTTGTTTGTCTCGTTTATAGTATGATTGTAAAATACTAAACCCTTTACGGTTAAAATTAATCTAAAAGATGTTTTCATATTGAAATATATATTAATTGGTCAACCGAGGGTTTGTTTTGTATTATTTCACTGCGCTGTTTCCATTTGAATGAACAATTATTCATATTATCAAGACCATTATATATTAGTTGTTGTTCTGGTGGATGTACAGAATGAGTATCACTATATCTTTATCTTACCTCTTGGATATAATAAATCATACTGTGCCAGTGTGATGATTCTTTTCTTATATGTTAGGTCATCTATCTTACGTCGGTTTTTACTCAGAAATTGTTGAAGCTGTCCTGGATGGAATTCATAGTCAAACCTTCGTCTTACAGCACGTGGTGCAATCTTTATCAACAAACCAGCTAATCGTAGAAAATTTATGTCATCCTGTGCCAAGGATGTTGCCATCCTACAAAAGATCAGTTATATCAAATAAGGTAGAAAAGGGGAAAAAAAGTGGAAATGATGTTTAAAGCTGTTCTTTAAGAAGTCTTAGCAGAAATATTACTTATATGATTTTAAAAAAGTGATGCTTACTGATATGATTTGAAAAAAATAATATTAACTGGGGAACCACCATAATAAAATACAATATAAACTCAAGAACCACTGCAATAATCAACACGAACCAGTATCCTTTTGAATCTGAAGTGCTTTCAAAACAACATTCATGATGTTACTGACTTACTTGCCAGTATTGACAGTCATACAATATTATTCATTTTCAAAATTCCTAAATTTAGAAAAATTTTATACCATATATATGTTGCAGTATATTGGTATTATTATGGATTATGTAAACTCGCTGAAATTTTCATAAATTAAGTATAATCACTGGTAACTTTTTTAAACATATAAAAAAGATGTGATATGATTGCCAATGAGACAACTCTCCACAAGAGATCAAATGACACAGAAATTAACAAATATAGGTCACCGTACGGCCTTGAACAATGAGCAAAGCTCATACCGCCTAGTCAGCTATAAAAGACCCCGAAAGGACAAATGTAAAACAATTCAAACGAGAAAACTCACGGCCTTATTTATGTACAATAAACGGCTGCGCCATGAGCTCAAGATACGCCCGTCGTGTTTTCTAAGAATAAAGTTAAATAACTTCTCAAAGTCATATCAGAAATTTATGAAAAACTAAAGGGAGGTTATCTTAATAGATATAAACCAAGCACCAAAGTTTTATGAAAACTGTTCAAAGCACTTTAAAGGTATTGTCCAAAAACAGAAAAATCCCCCTTTTTTAATGAATAAAACCCCATATCTGGGAAACGTAACATCTGAAATTTCTAAAAATCAAAAAGAAGCTTACATCAATAGACATAAATAATTCGCCAAAGTTTCATGAGAATTGCTGTAAACATTTTTCAGTTATTGTCCAAACCTGAAAATCACCTTTTTTTTTAATAAATAAAACATAAAATCTAAAATTCATAAAAATCGAAAGGGAGCTCATGTTAATAAATAAAAACAATTGACCAAAGTTTATTGAAAATTTGAAGAAGGATTCTTGAGTTATGGTCCAAAAACAGGAAAATCCCCCTTTTTTCAATGAATAAAACCCCATAACTCGGAAACGTAAAAATCTAAAATTTATAAAAAACGAAAGGGAGCTCACGTCAATAGATATAATCAATTCATCAAAGTTTTATGCAAATTGGTTAAAGCGTTTTTGAGTTAATGTCCGACATGTTGACGACGGACGGACAGACGGATGGACGGACAGACGGACTACCATAATACGACCCGTAAACGGGCGTATAAAAATGCCCTATTTCTATATAAATCATACCTGTTATTGACCGAAAACTGGAAAACCCCCCTTTTTTTAATAAAGATGGCCTTTATATTATTTCTGATCTACATGCAGAATCGGTATAAAACCATAACAGCCAAGGTTGGCATTCTCATGAATTGTGTCATTCTGTTTCATGAATCATGGATGCAGTCCGTTTTCTGTACGAAGTTGCATGTCTTCTCCCAATTTAATTCCCTGTTGGTGGGGACATTCATGAAAACATAAAACAGATAATCAATAATTGTCTTCGTATTTGTTTACAGCAAATCACGTGACCTTTGTATTTATATTCAGGACATGAACATAAAGATGATTGTATGATATTTAACCCCTAACGTAAGTGATTGTGCTTGATTTCCATTTGATGAAGACACAATCTTCCAATCAGTTTAATTGAGGTTTGGAGCTGGTATGGCAGTAACTGCAAGAAGTCCTTTGTTAATTCATGTATTATTGTCATTTGCTTAGTGTCTTTTGTTACTATTCTGACATCGGATTCGGACTTATTTTAAACTGAGTTTTACTGTGCGTATTGCAGTGTGTTTCTTTTTTCTGCATTGACTAGAGGTATTAGGGGAGGGTTGATATCTCACAATACATATTTAACCCGGCCGCATTTTTGCACCTGTCCCAAGTCAGGATTCTCTGGCCTTTGTAAGTCGTTGTATGTTTATGTATTTTTTGTTAATCTATATGATTGGAATATAGTATGACGTCAATTTTCACTGAACTAGTACATATTTTTATTTTGGGCCAGCTGAGGCCCACCTCAGGGTGCGGAATTTTTTCCCTGCTTTGAAGAATCATTGGTGGCTTCGGCTGTTACAATAATGTATCTGCTCTTAGGTAGGGTTGTTGTCTCTTTGACATATTCCCCATTTCCATTCTCAATTTTATTTGACTCTGTTTTGGCATACATTTACACTTAACAGTATCATTTAAAAAGTTGGGATTATCCATTTCAATTTCAAATGCTTTTTCGTTGATAAGTTAATGTTGTTCAATACAATTAAATAGAATATCAATTAACAAACTGTTCACTTTATATTTGAAAACATGGACAAAGAATGAAGACTTACTGCTGTTAGTACACCATAAACATGATACAGGGATAAAAAAACACAGATGACTCATTTGTTTATAATTTTTGAAATTTTCAAACTAAGGATCTTTCATTCATGTTATTTGAAAAGCTTAGAAACAGGGGAAAAAAACATTTTTGAAACCATCAACCAAAAATTCTCTTTAAAGTCTACTTAATTTTATATTTTTGATTTACAATATAGATATTTAATATGAGGAATACAATATACATAACATCACTATTAGTTTGGATTTATGTATACATTTGATACGAATTGGGTCTTATTCTTTAATGTTTTCAATTCAAATTCCTTTGCATTTTCCCGTTGCCATAGCAACGTATTACAAACACATCATCACTGATAAAAAATGTTTTATATGATTGGCAATGGTTACCTTACTTTGTATTCGTAACAACAATCACATTTCTAGTCACACGTTTGCTCCAGGTGGCCTATATATGTGTTGATTTTTGTCTATTTTTTGGTACGCTCTTTGGACTCGTAACTTAGGAAGCATTTTTCTTAGATACAAGATGTAAGGACGTGATTAAATATTTGTTTTCCTTAAACATATTTTTTATTATATAACAAATCAAATAAGAGCATTTTAAACTGAATCTAATTTTTGCACATTCAAGGTTTGTACAGTACGAAGCTCAATGTTCTATACAGCAATACCAACGTGTATCATATTTGAAGTTTATACGGAGTATATATCAACAAGGTATTCCTATTAGTTCAATTATTCAGAACATAAGAAGTATAAAAAAAATAAAGTTTTGAATAGAGTAGTGAATAAAGCTTCGTGCGAAAGTGATGAATACCCAACAACTTTAGTATAAATGGCAGCAGAAGATCATAAATATAGACATAATGGAGAAAGGTGATGTATAATACGATATACATGAGTGTGTCTACGTCAAGGAGCAGTGTTGAAAATATGCAGCACATTCACATGTCACATGATTCACAGAGCTACAAGAATGACCAGATAGAATATTTGTCATTGCAACCGTATGGTGTCGTAGTTTCTAATTCCCTAATCCAGTATTCCTCCTTATGACTACGGAGGGGTGCTTCAAGATGAAGATTGTTAGTACTGTGGTATATTTTTTCGATGATGCGAACTCGCATGGAAAGTAGATATAAGAAGATGTGGTATGAGTGCCAATGAGACCGATCTCCATCCAAGTCACAATTTATAAAAGTAAACCATTATAGGACAAACTGAACGAATGAATTTGATATTTGACACAATGATAATACAAAATCAATAAAAAAGAGGTTATATGTTAAACAATTTCAGAAAAACAAAATTGAACAAAAAAATGCCGCCAATTAGAACGGTTTGAATGATCAGACTGATTAAAACATTGGTTTACAAAGTCATTTGCATTGTTGTTAATGTTTGATCTATGGCCGCACATACATTTAAAAACCCTTCCGTTCGCAAATTTCACCGGCATATATACCAATCCGCAAGTGTTACACTCTAATTGGTGAACTAGATTGGTTAATTTACAATTCAAATCATCGTAGATTCTGGTTTAATAATTTTGTTTAGTTAAATTGCTATTAAATCAAGCAATTGTTATTAAAATGTAAAAGGTTTTTTAGTTTATAGTTTTCATTTAGAAATTTTTTAAAAATAACACGTTATAAATGTCTTGCGTCCCACGCGCTTTTCTTGATTTACCTTCATCAGGAATGCTGTGATTTATTAACATAATTAAGGGGATTATGTTTCAACAGTTATCTTAATGCATATTCAAATCGTTGGACAACATTTATTTACTTTTTGGCAATAAAATTCATCCACAGGTTGTAGGTATTTATATGGACACCAACTGTGCTCCTTAATTTTAAATAGGTTGTTCCTGTACTTAATCACAGATTATGTCTACACTCAGCAAAGACTTGTCTAAAATTCATTTACGTCAACAACACTTACCGGTATATTGATGATAACGTATTGTAAAATAATCTCGAATTCTCCAAATATCCTGCCACAATTAACCTAAAGGAACTTATTTTAAATAGAAAAGATATAAACAACAATAACTGTCCTTTCTATACTTAGATATTGCAATTTTATACGGGGAAAATTTACATTTAAAATTATTTCAAAAGGGACGAGTTTTGTTTGCGATTCGTAATTCAATTTTTGAAAGTTAATAATCCTTTGTCACAATCTTATGGTGTTTATATATCCCGCCTCGTTTGCTATGCCCGTGTCGGTATTATATGGTCAAGGATTTTGTTTCCACAAATTACTTAAATCATTTATTAAATTTGTCCATAGAGACAAAGATTCAGTTTGGAAGTTTTGCTGTACCGATCATTTAGATAAACTTATTCTAAAGATTATCAATTCAACACTGTAATTAGATCTTTTCATATTATTTGATTCGTATAAATAAAGGCAATAGTAGTTAACCGCTGTTCAATAGTCATAATTCGATTGAGCAAAAACAAATATGGATAACAAATTTAAAACCAGGTGAAACACATCAACTATAAGAGGAAAACAACAGAGTAACAAAAACAATGAACTAAAACAAAAGCAAACGTCAACATTCATAGAAACGGACTACAGATAACAACTGCCATATTCCTGACTTATTAGAAAATTAAAACCATGTTAAACACATAATCTACATTCACGGTCCTGCAATCTGTCGATGTCTTTCATTTTGGCACTACACGAGATCATGTTTTTCTCTAACGAGTAACCCGAGTATACTGACAAACAAAGACATTTGAGACATGTTCTAAAAATACAGAATACAAGCCACAAAGGAAATAAACAGACAACAACTCAGCTCAAAATGAACCAACATACCAACACGTATAAGAAAGTAACAAAAAAATTGCAGAACGCGGGATATATATGTAAGACTCGGATCGACGTCCGGTCTCTAATCGACGTCCGTTCCTCAAATCAACGTCCAAATCTGACGAGAAATAACATAACATTTCGAATCAAGGGCCAATTCCATGCCGCTCTAATCGACGTCTGTTCTGTGTTTCTCAAATCGACGTCCATTTTTTCTACTTCTCTAATCGACGTCCATTTTATGGACTCGTGGCAGGGAAATCTCATCTTAATTAAAGGATGGGTTGAACATAAAACTCAAAAAGTTGATGAAAAATATAAGTTTATAACTTAAATAGTACTTTTTAACATTTTGCCAATGAACAAAAAAGGAAAACGACAACAACAACGTAGGTCGAGAATATGAACGTCTTTCACGAAAATATTAATACGCATGTAGATGAAAAAGTAATATAATGTCGGTGTTCGTCTTATTGATGTTAAATGTCATTTTATTTTGATACCAAAGAAGAAAAGAGTTACAGTTTTTGTAAACTACTAGTTATTAATGGAGGTTAATAAAAAAAAAGAGCAATGACGCTTTTAATTTTTAACGTGTTATTAGGTCTTTCCACTTTTCTGTGGAAAGACCTATTGTATTTTTTCTGATTATTAGGTCTTTCCACAAAACGTGGAAAGACCTATTGCTTTTCTTCTGATTATTAGGTCTTTCCACATTTCTGTGGAAAGACCTTTTGATTTTCTTTTGATTATTAGGTCTTTCCACTTTACTGTGGAATGACCTATTGTATTTGTTCTGATTATTATTTTTTTTTTTCTTCCGCCAAATTTTGTTCTTGCGATAAATTTTTGTTTCGCAATATGTCGCTTATTCCTTTATTGGTGGATTTTTTATAGATAAATAAAATCGTATAATATAAGCAAAATGAGGATTTTAAATTTGATGTATGCCTTTTTGTTCTTCTTCGTTACATTTGTTTGTTTTTATAGTGATTAAGATAATATCGCAATGTTGACTGCTGTACCCCTATTTTTGACATTTTTACCTATTGTGTCTGTTTGTTTTGTTCACGCATCGTTGTCAATATAATGGAACTTGATGTGACTGTCATACAAGTGAGAGGTTTAGCTAGCTATAAAACCAGGTTCAATCCACCATTTTCTACATAAGAAAATGCCTGTACCAAGTCAGGAATACGACAGTTGTTATCCATTCGTTTGATGTGTTTGTTTTTTTGATTTTGCTATTTGATTGGGGACTTTCCTTTTTCAATTTT